AACAACTTTAACCAATATACTTGATTAATAAAGATATTTTAAAAAAAGACAATATGTATTAATTATTACAAATAACTAACTTAATTTTTTAATCTATTCAAATTAGTCAACTAGCTCTTGTATTTAGAACCAGAGGTAATAATATTTTAATGTTCAGATTATTTCTTTCTTTCTTTTTTTCCTTGTGATGATGTTCAGATTGTTTCTTTCAGTCTTTTTAAATTGCTTTGGTTCTGCCGCAATTTATAGAATATAAGGTAAGTAATTTCAATGGTAATGACAAAAAAAGTCAAAAGAAGGTGAAATAAGAGTTTTCCTGTCAAGCATTGATAAAAAAGAGTTGGAATCTTCAGCAAAAACGGTGAGTTTACATTTTCTTTTGGTAGAAAGAAAATCTTCTATCTACATTTTAATTGTCTTATTTTATATATTTCCACGAATCACATCATGCTGGAAATAACAAGAGTAAAATGCACTAACTATCTCTTTATTTTAGTTAAATTATAAAAATCTTCTTTCTATTTTAAAAATGTATATAAATCCCTCTTTAAAGTAAAATGTATAGTATGTAAACCTCCTTTATATATTTGAGATTTTATTTCCATCAATCCAATCGTTAGTTGATTGTCAGACTCGACTTTAAAACTTTTGTTTTAACTAAAATACTCTTCTTTAACATAAAATTTCTTTAAATATTGATATTTTTTAAAACAATTGTTGGTAAAAAAAATATTTTTTTGGTGACATAAAAACATAATTTTAATACATGTATTTTCAAACTTTCTAATATATAATAAAATTTATTAAACTTTAAAAATTTTGTTTTGACTAAAATACTCTACTTTAACATAAAATTTTTTAAACATTTATATTTTTAAAAAATTGTTGATAAAAAAAATTTTTTGGTTACGTAAAAAAATAATTTTAATACATGTATTTTCAAACTTTTTAATATATAATAAAATTTATTAATTTTGATTATATTATGAAATTTCATAATTTTAATTTTTCATCATAAATATTGAAACTTAGTTCTTTAGTTTTCTTTTAAATGGCTACAAGATATGTTAAATACATATTTTTTTACAATATAAATTACCTAATTTTGAGAGATTATAGAAATTATTTAAATTGATAATTTAAAATTTTTATAAAAATTTTTGTTAGAAATATATATATAGTTTATTTAGTCAATTGTATATTTATTTAAAAATTTAATAAATTTTCATTCAAGTTTTTTATGTCAACATTAACTAAATTATTTAATTTTCTGTCTCAATATGATAAAAATATTAAACATTTGTTTTCAAAAATAAAAAGAATCAAGAAAAAAAATAAATTCTTCAAAAAATTTTAACCAAAATTAACGGATTTAGTATTATGAAAAGTAAATTAGTAAATAAAAATATTTTAATATGATTTTTAATTAAAAAAATTATCTTCTTAGAATATTCTTACTAGAGTTCACCATTTAGTCTTTAGTTTTTTATGTAGAAAGAAGGTTGGTGTAATTATGACAAAATACAAGAGAAATTAGAATATTTTACTCTATAAATAATAGATCTTCTAATTATACTACATTAAATTTGAAAATAAGAGAAGACTTGTCTATTTATTTATAGTCATTATAATTAATCCTTTAATCAAATCTTAATATATGCGTTTTTTCACTTTATCGTTTATTTAAATATAACAAACTGTAATTATATTTAGAGTTAAATATATGGACCTTCTGTCTATTTAATTTAAATCATATATAAATATATTATTTTATTTTGAGGATCAACCTTTTAATTTACTCATCACCTTATTGATATTTTGTTTCAACACGTCAAACACCGCATCATCGACATAAACATTACCTAACAATCATTTCATCATTCATTTTTAGTCAAGAAAATAATTTTAATGTATATATTTAAATTTTTTATTATAATTTTAAATTTCTTAAATGGATTTCATAATTTTAAATATTTAGTCTCATTTATTTAAACTCATTTATAGTATAACATTTTGAATATATGCTTGGCTAAAAAATGTTTTGCAAGTAAAAAAATTATGGAATGATATTTTGAGCATATTATTTTAATTATGAACTTATTTATTCCACATATATAATTTTTTTAAAAATATGTATCATTAAATGCATATTTACTAAAAAATAGTCAAATTGTTTTAGAACTTGACATAACAGATAAAAAGAACTTGACCTAAGTTTTCTTCTAAATCAAATATACATTTATTAAAAGAATGACCAAATTTTGAATCAATTATGTTTATATATTACACTTGATTCTTAATATAAGAGTTAGTTGACTAATTTTAGTAGAGTAAGAAAAAAAAATTAAGTTTCACAAAAAAATAATTAAGTTAGTATTTTTTAATAGATATGTATTATCTTTTCTAAAATATTCTCAGTAATTAAGTGTATTGGTTAAAACTACTATTATTACAAAGTGGATTGGAATCTTATATTTATAATCAAAATAAAAGTCAAACGAACTCTTATATTAAGGATCAGAAGTAGTATATTTTAACTAAATTACTTAAATTTTTGTTCCAATATGATAAAAACATTAAGTAGATAACTATTTATTTAAGCTTTTAGAATTTTTTAGAATGTTCTTTAACACTATTAATAATTTAGACTAAAATATATGTTCTTAAAATAAAAGAGAGATATGTGTAATTATGACAGGGCATTGAGGTGGTTAGGGTATTTTATTCTTAAACTTATTCTTATATATGTAAGTTAAAAAAAAAAAAAAAGAAGCTTTCTTTGGAAAAATAAAAAAAGCGCTTTCTTTTGGCATGTTTTCATTTTTGGGTTAAAGGACATGATTTTCAGACCTAAAGAGTGAGATTGCTCCAACAAACGATTTCAACCCCTTGGTGCTCCTGCAAAATAATTTATTAGGAACAAAAATATCATTAATTTAACCCTTAATTATTGGTTGGGTTATTCTACGGAAAAAGTTAGAAATTTAATGCGTACGTACAGGTGAACTGGGGGGCATAGTGCTTTTGTATATTAATTCTAAGTAATTTTTTTGGAGTGATGTATGCCTCATATTCTTTTTTGGCTCTTATTTTTTTAATTAATTATTAATTTCTAAATAAAAATTGTTAATGGCTAATGAAACATACTGAATAACTAAATAAAGGTTGTCAATAACATAAAAGAGTGGATTTGGTAATTGTTAAGCCAAAAATTGTTAATGGCTAATCAAGTGTACTAAATAGTTAAACAAAAATTGTAAATAACTTGTAGTTAAAGAATGTCATGTATTTATTTTAACTAGTTTGAAATTTAAAAATGTGATTATTAATTAATTACTGAATAAAAATTATTAATAGCACAAAAGCGTGAATAATTAAACAAAATTTGTTAATAGATAATAAAATGTAACGAATAGCTAAACAACAATTGTGAATGATTTGCAGTTAAATTAAAGTTGAAGAGTTAATTAACTTATATATTATTTTGGTAACATAATTTTAAGATGCAAGTGGTTGTGTAATTAAATCCCACATTCACCATTCTCTCAAAAAAATTCCTCCCACTAGCAGCCTAGCTCACTAGAGCTCCAAGCCAGTGGGGGGCTGTGGTGCCGTTGGGCAACGGTCGCCATTGGCGTCGCCGGCAAGGGAGCTGGGAACTCTCTCTTACTCTATTTTTTCCCCCCAAACAAAAGGCATTTATGGCTCTGCATGTATTTCAAAATCTTATTTTGGGATTTGATACCTTGTGAGAACTTTGTAATTTTATATCACGCCTCTGTCATTTAGTATTTTCTAGATTTTTTTTGTCATTTTTTCTTCTTTTATATAGTTTTCTTTCTTTTTTTAATAAGGCTTTTATATAGTTTTCAAATCGTTATATCACCCTAAAATTTGGATGTGCTTTTGGATATTAACTTCTACAATGACCTTATAGAGTGATATATGCCATATTCTTTTTTACCTGAGCTTTTTATTAATAGGCCCCATTTATTTCAAAAATGTATTATTTTATATAATTATGAGATATTAAGTCTAAATTTATTGGAAATTAGTTCTACAGTTTTATCGAATAATATGGCTATTATTGTACCCAATAATATATCACTGCGTACAAAATATGTAAAACAAATATCTCTTTGATACTAAAAGTCTCTATTTTTTAAAATTTCTTATTATTTTAACAAATAGCAGAGCATGGCACCTTTTTTTCTTTAATCCTATGCAACATTAATATTACCATGCATATGGTGTATTATTATTATTAATATACTCCCTCCAATTAAGTAAAAATAATTGTGTCACAGGATTTGAGAAAGTTCGTTATTTTTTTAGTTATGTATGAAATTGTTTTTCCCCCCTGAAATGCTTTATCAGTAATGATGATTATTTATTGTAAGTATTCATCTGTTGTAATTTTGAATAGAGGCGCAATTGGGAACACACAATAATACAACTTAAAATTGGGTAGTTTTTGTTTATAATAAAAATAAAAAATTGATATAATTAAGATGGGAGGTAAAACAAATCTTTCATTTAATTGAACCCCAAAAATTTTAAAGATTAATCGCGCGACTAAAGTCTACGTAGGTATATAATAAGTCAAATAAATTTTGAGATACATCTTTGATATATCATATGCTTTCAATTTAAAATGCTTCTGATGTCCATGGATTTTTCATTGTACTTGCTTTGCTATTGCATAAACGGCTTACTTTTCTACAATTCTATATTCAGGTTGAATTTCTTTCAATGGCCGGTGAAGCCTTTGGAACCAATCGCATCCTCCAACCCCACCAGATGATGCCAGAGCCGTGTTCCATTCAAGGAATTTAAAAAAAAAAAAAGAAAAAAGAATGGAACACTAAACGGTAGTTGGATTGGAGTCAATTCGGGATTAAGTCAACTGTTTCAGTCTGTCGGTCAATTCAACAACCAATCCAAACCACACCACAACTACCAATCATCAAATGGAGTTGCTGCCATCGGCGATGTCTCAACACTTCCCCAGTTTTCCTTCTCTCCTCTCCTCATCCTTTCAGTCACCTTCATCTTGACTCCTACTTGGTTTTCAATTTCCCTCTCTCTGGTTCTTTTCTTTCCCTCAGGTAAGGTTGCCGTAGTTGTGTTTCCAGCACTTCAGTTTCCTTCATGAGGAGCTACTTTTTGCTTCTACTTCTTATTCTTGACTTATATATACATTACTACAAAAAAGAGTATTCACGACGTTAATTTACGGCGGTTATTAGCAAAAACGTTGTAAAAATATGACGGTGGTATTTTTGTAATATATGCGGTTATTTAAAAAAACGGCGGTTTTTTAAATAATTGCTGTAAAAAGTACTTTTAACGGCGGTTTTTTAAATAACCGCCGTAAAAAAATACTTTTAATGGCAGTTTTTTAAATAACCGCCGTAAAAAGTCTATCAGTATTTTAAAATCCATCGCGCGATAGTTTTTACTTTTCAGAGTCAGAGCTCATAGTCCCCCATACCACATCCTCACTCGATTTTCTCCCTCCTTCTATATTTATCGGTGTTATCCATGCCTCTATCATTTCCGTCATATTCTTCCATCACTGTCGTTGTTGCTATTGTCGTCACCATCGCCTCATCCTCTTCATTCTTATTTGTGAGTTTTTCACCTCCATTCTTTTTGTGGATTTTACAGTTTTTGTGGTTTGATATGATTATTTTCTTTAGTTAAAAATAAGATGCTTAATTTGAGTTTAAAGAGATCTGATTTTTAGCAGATCTGAGTTTTTGATTTTATCAGATCCGAGTTTTTGATTTTACCTTTATTAAATCTTAGTTGCTTCGATCTGGTGGGCGAAGGTGAAGCTAAGTGACGCTATGAAGGCAGGAAAGAATCTATATTTACTCCATCAGAATGCTTTTAACTGGAGAGAGATTTCCTTTGAGGCTTTGTTCTCCCGTTCCCTCCTAATCAGTAGGATGAAACGTAGCTTAAAGGAATAAAAAATTTTCGCAGAGGTTATTTATATAACCTCCGTGAAATGTCACATATCATGGCGGTTCTTAAACCGCCGTGAAATCCTCTATATTTTACGTCGATGACACAGACATCGGTCTCAAAACCGCCATAAAAAGCTTATATTAACCGCCGTTAAATGTATTTTTTGTAGTAGTGTGATACCATCATTCCAGTGTATATAGAGACTGAATAATATATATATATATATATATATATATATATTTATATCATCTTTTACTCGACATGTTCTCTTTCTCGTGCTTGTGATGTATCCTAATCGTTACTGAATATTTCCCTTTTGATTTGCAGTTTGTGCATCCTCGTTTCTTTGCACTTCGATTCTTCATTTTAGCTTCCCTCTGATATTCCCAAAATCAACAATCAACAATAAAAAATCAACAAAAATTTCAGAAAAAGGAAAAAAAAGAAGAAGGAGATTTTCCTGTTGATAGGAACAGAAGACTCCTAAAAAAAGGTTGTCTTTTTTTTTATTATGTTATTTTTATTTTATTGTACACATATCACTATTTCTCATCTGTTATATCCACTATGATATGATTAGTGTGTATTGTTCAGACTTGGTAGTAATTGGATCCATCTTTTAGTTATACCACATGAATAAAATCTATAGGAAGGCATACTATTCATGAGCTATATGGACACATTGATCCATTTATATGAAAGTTGCCTAATATAAAGAAAATGTGTGTAGTAATTATTATTATGAAAATAGGGAGGGTATAATTAAAGCTCATATGCTTCTATACTTTATTATTCGAAATGAGCATGATCTAGTACTCTCTCCTAATATATTCGGATTCTTCAACTCTTTTCAGTTTTCTTCGGCTTGATTTCTTTTCCTTCTTTCGAGATGTTTCCTGCTCAAGACATCGTCAAGTAACTAGAGTTGAAATCTCCAAAGAAAAGGTGAATAAACATTTTGAACGTATTTTCTCATCCTTTAGGCTACGTTGCGCGCTATTTGTAATCTGATTAATATTTAGTTTGTCCTTTTAATGTCTTGTTATTGACTTTTCTTTTTGTTGCCAACATTATGGAATTAATTACATTATTATCGTTTATGGATATTCAGAACCAAAAATAAGTGGATTGTTGTGTATGGAGTGAAGCAGCGAGCAAAGTTTATTGAGTTGAAGAAGAGGGATTATAGGATTTAGAGATTCCCCCCCCCCCCCCTCAAAAAAACGGTTTTATACAATTTTTTTAAAACTTTGAAAAAATCTGTTTGGATTATTATCTAAAAAGTTACATTTGAAAATAAACATATTGAAATTAGAGGGTGAAATTTCAATGAGAACTCAAGTCCTCCAGTAGAGAAAAAAAAGCTTCCTATTTTCTAGACAAAAAGTAAGAAATAATGTAAAATAAAAAGCAAGAAAATAACTAAAAATTGTTTTAGTTTTTTATTTTGAAAAACATATCATTTTTTAGTTTTTAAAAAACACTTGGCTACAAACAAATTACAAAACAAGTTTTTTTATGAAAGAATTTAAAAAAATACCTTTGAATTTTAAATTTTAAATTAGTTTTGTTCACTACACTTTGATAATAATTGATAATATTTGAAAAGTAAATGACAACATATTTTTGTGATTTGGGATTTTGAAATTTGAGAGATTTTTTTAGAAAAATTTCCCTTTTTTACTTTTTTTAAATAATTTTTTTTTAAAAAAACAAGAAAACAAACAAGTATGCCAAAATGTTTGATTGCTTGATCTCGATATGTATTTTTCATTTTGAAAAAATAAAAGAATGTGTTTGAAAATGTATTTTTGGTTACATTTCTGAAAAAAATTAAATGATTTTTTTAGGCCGAACAATAAAAATGATTTTGAAAAACAAAAAAATGTGAACAACTTTTGATATTTTGTTATGCTTGTTTTTGTTCTAGGACAATACAAATTTAAATTAGAGAAGAGGAGAATTTTGTAATTGTCACAATTTTTCCCAGCAAAAGCAGAAGGCACAACTAGGATTAGGATTGAAATTAAATTAGGTGTTGTTCTCATTGATCAGTGTTCTTATTGATCAAAAAATTTAAGACACAATCCTTAATACATATCTGGAATTTTCTACCGTGCGTACTTGCATTGCTATTGCATGAATGGCTTACCATTACTTTCCTACCATCCTATTCAGGTTGACTTGCTTTCAATGGCGGGTAAAGACTTTGGAGTCAATTTCGGGGCCGGGCTTGCAGTAAATATAGTAACGGCTGTAGGACGGCAAGCTCGTTATTGTTGTGAATTCAACAAGCTTGTTACAGATATGCGTAATGAACAAGGAAACTTAATATCTACAAGAAATGACATGCTGGTCCAATTTAGAAAAGACAAAGCCAACAGTAAAGAGCCTTCAGCAGAACTTCAGAGGAAGTTTCAGGAAGCAAATGTGCTCATAGACAAAGTGGACAAGCTGAAAGAGAAAGCAGAAGCAAAGCAAAGCTGCTGCCATGGGGTTTGCCCTAACTGGATATGTCGATATGTTGTTGGAAAGAAAGCAGAGAAGAAGACAGAAGCAATGAAGCAGCTCAATGACAAGTTGAGACCAAAGCTATCAGCTGCCCATCGTAAATCACTTGAATACATGCCCCAGCAGAAGATTTCATTCTATTTAAGTGCACAGAAGAGGCCCTCAAAGAAATCTTAATGGCACTGAGAGATGTTAGAAGAAAAGAATTGGGCTTTATGGAATGGGGGGTTGTGGTAAGACGTCCTTGCTAGAAAAAGTGCTTAAGGAAGTGGAAGACCATAACTCCTCAAGACAGCATATGCCGTTGTGTCCAATACTCCAAATTACATGGCTATTCAAGATAGCATTGCAAACTGCATAGGCTTGGTATTTGAGATGGAGAAGAATGTAACCAATCGAGCTGCAAGATTGTCCATGCATTTGCATTGAAAACGATAAGAAATATCTTGTAATCTTGGATGATGTGTGGCAAGTGCTTGACTTTAAAGCCATAGGGATTCCGTTCGAGAAAATTGCAAGGTTCTTCTAAGTACTCGGCAACGACATTTATTTGACTTGATGAAATTTGATGCACCGATTTATCTATCACTTTTAACGCCAGACGAAGCATGGAATGTTCCAAAAGTGTGCTGGTGAAATAAAAGATCCATTCCAACAAGAAGTGGCTCGACAGATCACTGCTGAATGTCACAGATTACCCGTTGCAATCAAAGCTGTGGCCAGTACTTTGAGGGGCAAAGAACTTTATGTATGGACAGATGCACTGGAAACATTGAAAGATCGTAAACAGCCTTTAAATATTGAAAAAGGACTGGAAGATCCATATAGATGTCTTAAATTTAGTTTTGATGAATTGAAGGATGCAGAAGAGGTATCACTTTATTTATTGTGTGCTCTGTGCCCCTGCGACTCAGAAATTGCAATTGAAGCTCTGATCAGATTTGCATTTGGCTTGGACATATTTCGCGATATTGATTCATATCAAAGAGCTAGGTCCAAAGTGCGCACAGCCATTGATAAATTCAAGAACCACTGTTTGTTGCTGCAGGAAGTACAGTATGTTAAATTACATGACATGTTTCATGCTTTAGCATTGTGGGAAGCGAAGAAAAAAACTAAAGTGATTACAGGGCGAGACAGATTGTAGCCCAGGAGATCATATGAAAGATACAAATAGGCTGTATTGCCATGAAATAGAAGAATTTCCAGATCAGTTGTTTTGTCCAGAACTTGAGATACTAATTGTGTCCACTAGTGGTGGATACTCATCAAAATTCCCAGATATGTTTTTCCAACAGATGATGAGGTTGAAAGTGCTTGCCATTAAAAATACATCTATTGGGACAAAACCAAATCTTTTGCTACCTCCATCAATTGAAGGACTGAAAAATCTTCGAACACTTTGCTTGGGAGGATGGACATTAATCAATATCTCTATGTTTGAAAAACTTGAGATGCTTCACACCATTGAGCTACTGGATTCTGTAATGAAAGAACTTCCTAAAGAATTAGCAAACCTAAAGGGATTAAAATTGTTGGAGGTATCGAATTGCAAAATAGGAGGCAATCCTTATAAGGTGCTTACCACATGTTTACATTCGGAAGAGCTGTATTTTGTTGAAAATCATCTTCCAGAACTGGTGCAGATTGGTCAGAACGCTGCTGATTTTTTCACCAAATTGGCTCCTTTGAGGTCCTACAAAGGTATCATATAGAAATTGGAGGTATAAATACTTCCAAGGATCATTCATCGTCTAAACTCATATCCATAAATAATTGTGAAGCCTGTATCACAGTGAAGCATTCCAAGCATTGCCCTGACCTTAGAGGGTCTTTTCTTTGAAAAATTCAAGGATAAGCGAAAGCATCATTCCTGGCATTTTTCCAATACAAGGTGAATGTTTGAAGGAGTTAAAAGAATTTGTACTTCGTGATTCTGATTGCATAAAATGGCTGATTGACACCACCAACGATCAACTATATCAGACTAGAATCCTTTTCGCCAAGTTGCAGAAGTTGAAAGTTGAAGCCATGGAGAGCTTGGAAGCCTTATGCCATGGTCCACCTCCTTCTGGCCTTTTTAAGAATTTAAAGGAGCTATTTATAGCAAACTGTAACCAATTGGCATTTCTCTTCACGACCACCACTGCTCAAATGTTGATGTTGGAAGTGCTGGAAGTAGCAGATTGTGGTAAATTAAGGTATATGATAAAAGTTGAAAATGACGATGAAGATATATCAGTGGGACTTGTGCTCTCAAACTTGAAACAAATCAGTGTCAAAAGATGTGAAAATCTGAAATGCATACTACCGATCTCTGTTGCTAGTGGTCTTCTGCAACTAGAGTCTCGAAATAGAAGAGCTGCTGAATTGCAATATGCATTCGGCGAAGATAATCATGAAAAAGCTGAAAACAGAACCAGACCAGCATTGACCTTTCAGCGTTGAAAATATTCAAGCTCATTAACTTGACAAATATCATTAGAATTTGCCCAGAAAATTATGATCCCAAGTTGCCATTGGATAAAGCAGTTGTAACGGGATGTCCACTGTTGAGAGGCATACCTTTAGATTCTGAAGTGAGACAAGAAGATGGTGATGAGGATATGGAGCAGGTAATATAAGGCTAGTAAGCGCGCACAAACATTACAATTTAGCCTACCAATTGCATCAATTACTTTCTAATTACTTATAATTGTGGTTTCTATTTAGGCTATGTTGCTTTCAACATCGAGTGGTGAGCACTGAGATCCAGTACTCGGGTCAGGACCGCAAATGATTTGGTACAAGCATCAGCACGACAAGATCGCTATTTTTATCGATTCATACTTTTGTTACAGATCTCAGTGTGGAAAAGGACTTGTTAATATCAAAATTAGATGGCAATACAGCAGCATGTGCTAGTTGAAGCAAAAGATCTCATAGAAAAAGTGGAGGAGGAGTTGGAAAGCAAAGCAGCAGCAACCAAGAACTGTTGTCATGTGGTTTTTCCTAATTGGTTGTCTCGATATAATGTTGGCAAGCATTTAGAGCGAATGACAAAAACAGTGAAGCAGTTCAATGAAAGGTTGACAGAGGCACCAAACCGCGTTCCATCACAACTCACAATCAAACGCTGTAACAATGTTAGTATCTTTGAATCTAGAAAGAGTCCGTACTATGAAATCCTGGCAGCTTTGGAAGATGATGCGGTTGACATGATTGGTCTTTATGGAATGGGGGGTTCCGGTAAGACATTCTTGATCAAAGAAGTGTGTAATCAATTGAAAAGAGTGAAATCTTTTGATGAGGTGGCCTTTGCCGTGGTGTCCAATTCTGCAGACATGAGAAGAATTCAAGGTCAAATTGCACACGATTTAGGCTTCAGACTTGATTGTGACATGGATGAGACTGCAAGAGCGAAAAACTATCCATGAGGTTAAATAATGGTGACAAAATTCTCATAGTCTTGGATGACATTTGGGAAAAGCTTGATCTTGAGGACATAGGGATTCCCCTTAGTAGAAATTGCAAGGTTGTTTTGACTGTCCGGCGCCAAGAAGTCTGTATCTTGATGGAGTGTCAAATAGCGGCCTATTTACCACTCCTAAGCGAAGAGGAATCTTGGATTTTATTTGAAAGCAATGCGGGCTTGATAATAGATATACACTAAAAAATTTGGCGCTGCTGATTTTAACAGAATGTCAAGGATTACCTCTTTCAATTATTGCTTTGGCTAGAGCTTTGAAAGACAAACCAAGCATGTTTGGAGGAAGCATTTATGACATTGGGAAATCATGACGCATAAAATATATCAGGTGACGTGGCAAATATTTTTAAAAGTCTGATATTAAGTATCGATCACTTGCGTGGTGATGAAACAAGATCACTTTTCTTTTTATGTGCTCTCTTTCCGGAAGATTCAACGATTGCTCGGGAAATTTTGATCAGATTTGCATTTGGATTGGGCATATTGAAGGATGTTGACTCATATGAAAGAGCTAGAGCGAAGTGGGCGCCGTCATTGATAAACTCATCGACTCTAATTTGGTACTACAGGAAGACGAAAAAAGACAATACATACGGATCCACGACTGGTGCGTGATACAGCCCTTGTTTAGCAAGGAAAGTCAGTGATCATGGGGCGTTTCGGGTACCGGACGGATTTAACTGATGGATATGGAAGATGCAACAAGATTATATTGTCATGATATAAATGAACACCTAGATCAATTAATTTCCCCAACTTGAGCTTCTGTTTGTTTCCTTGATGGTGGATGTACATCAGATTTTTCAGATGCTATTTTCATTGAGATGAGAGAGCTCAAGGTGCTGACCATAATAAATAAAACTACAAGGACAATCCCAAATCTGCACTTGCCTCGATCAATGGATGGGTTAAAAAAGCTTCGAACTGTGTGCTTGAGAGGATGGACCTTAACACATCTCTATTTTAGGAAAACTGGAGATGCTGGACACTATTGAAATCGTGTATTGTGTAGTCAAAGAGCTACCTAAAGAATTAGCAGAACTAAGAAGGTTAAGTTTGTTGGAAGTACGTGGGTGCAAAATGGGAGCAATCCCTTTGAGGTGCTGGCCAGATGTTCCCAACTTGAAGAGCTGTATTTTGTTGAGAATAGTCTTCCCGAAATGGTGTCAGATGATCATAATATTGTTAGACTATTTCACCAGATTGGCTCCTCTAATGTACTGCGAAGGTATCATCTTGAAGTGGGAAGTTCTATACATACTTTGGGGAATGATTTTATCACACAAATTCATATCTATAAATGGTTTCCACATCCCTGTCTCAAATGAAGGAATGAAGAATATGGCACAAAAGCTAGAGGTTCTTTTCTTGGAAAATGTCCAAGGAGACTTCAAAAACATCTTCCCTAGCATGATTCCAATAAAAAGAGAGTGTATGAAAGAGTCGACAGAATTTTTACTTCACGGTTCGACAACATAGAATGCTTCATTGACACCACAAATCATCACTATATCAGGCTACAACTGTTTTCTCCAGGTTGCTAAAGATGAGAATTAAAACCATGAAGTTCTTCAAGGCCTTGTGCTGTGGTCCGCTTCCTTTCAATCTTTTCAAGAATTTACAAGAGCTGTTCATTGCAGAGTGTAGCCAATTGCACTGTATTGTCTCTGTGGGCAAGCTGAATTTTTGTAATCTCAAGCACTTAAAAGTGGAGGATTGTCCAAAGTTGGCATCTATCTTCACATATTCCACTGCTCAAACTATGGTCTCGTTGGAAATCCTGACAGTACGAGATTGCATTTCCTGAAGCATATAATAGAAGATGAGGAGGAGGATGACATTACTCCAGCAGTGCCTATCTTCCAAAGTTTGAAACGAGCGTGCGTCAAGGGAAGGATTCAGCATTTGGAATTCATCATACCAGCATCTTCTCTTGGCGGCCTTTCACAACTAGAGAGTCTGGAAATAGAAGATGCCAGTCTGTTGAAACATGTATTTGGTAAATATGAACGTGAAGAAGCCCAAATCAGAGTGAATCCAACGGTATGGTTGGTCTTCCATATCTGAAAAATTTAAAACTTGTTGACTTGCCAAATGTCACAAGCATCGGCCCACAGAGTTATCACATAAGTTGGCCGGATGTTGCTGTACCATATATCAAGGGATGTCCACAATTGAGCATCCCATCTGATTTACATTCAGAAGCAATTCAGCAAAGTGGTGGCAAGTCCAGGGAGCAGGTAATACTAATGTGTGAATAGACACATATATAAGAAGAACGCATCTTGAGTGGTTAATTTTTTTTTTTTCCCCACCATGATTGTTTTTATTTTACTGATCATGTGCGCAATTTCGTAGGAGTGGGAACTTCCAGCAAAACAAAGCAGCGACATGGTTGTGGAAAGCGTAGAAGAAAGGGAAAGAAGTTGATGAGGCAGCTGTGTTGGAAATCATTCTGTACATTCCTTGTCGCCTATCATGGCTTCAGGTTCGAGTGAATTTTTTGCCAGCCACCAAGACAAAGGATTACCATCACATACTAGATCAACTTATTCAAATGAAGACAGAGGCTTTGCTATTGTCCCTTCTAATATTCAAGATGATTATGTAAATAGAGAGAATCAGAGGGGCAATAATGACATTCCAAGTGGATCTATCTCAACAGGTTCAGATTTTCACTTGCTGAAGCAGGATGATACTGGTAAAAATTTCTTAATTGTTTGTTTTTTTTTTCATTTGTAATTTTCAATGGATACCTATTTTTCTTTCTCTCTCTCTTTTTTTTTCCTCACTCTATGAAGTACAATCAGCTGCAGAGGTTCATCCCCACTTACAAGAATTCCAAAACGTGGTCACTGAAGAAGACTTCAAAAGCATAAAGGCTGTCCAGTTGATTCAATGACCACCAAGAGGTGAATCCTGATTCTTATTACTGTCTTTTACCATTAGTGAACTGCTCTTAGTAAATATTCTTGTGGTTGTTATAGTTTCACTCAATTGTTACCTATGTATATATATACATATTAACAAACTAATTTGATCCCTGCCATGACTATGCATGATTTGTGACGCTAAAAAATTAATCTAAATTTACTTATGCATACTATATGGACTTTTCACGATATGAATGTGTCTGATTTATGCCAACCAAAGGACCAAAGTAATAGTGAAGTAAAATTAACTTACAAACATGCTTTGCGATACAAACTCTGTTAAGGAACTCGGGTTAATTGATCTGGATTGCACAGATATATAGGAATAAGATGAAATCTAGTAAGCGGTGTATATAAGCAAAGCCTACAACAAACTCTTTCTCTCTCTCCTCTCTCCTCTCTCTCTCTCTCTTCCCAATTCTATAACAACTCAATAGGAATTTTGAACTACAGGGACCAAATTGACCTTATCCATAGTATTGAGAGTTGGTATCAACTTCCTCCTCCACTCCTTTAAGCATCATTAAACCTTATGCGTTTTTCTTTAAGTTTACAAATGTAAGTCCATTTATGAAGGTAGTCTAGAAATTGAAATTTATCATTTGGAAAATATTGCACAGAGTAGCAGAAAAAACAGGAAAGGGAAGCCTTCATAAGGATACTGGACTAGAAGAATCAAAAGTGGGAACATCAACCCAGGTAGGCGCATTACACTCTTCATTATAGCGAAAGATTTTATAGAATACAACCTAAAAGGCTAAAATTGTTGGTTATTAATGGATATAGGAGTTGATCGATAAAGAACAACAGTTTGAACTCGATGCAAAAGTTGCAAAGGTTCAAGACCCTACAGAGGTTCATCCTCGTCAAAAGAATTTGATGTAATGGCTCACACCCAAGAAGGCCTTCAAGAGCAAAACTTATGTTCATTGGTTCAATGAACTCGAGAGAGGTGTATTTTGAATCCTGTTACTTTCTTTTACATTAATAAATTACTCTCTCGTAAATTAGCTTATATGATAGGTTATAAAATTAAGTTCATCGCTGGACTTCAACTTAGAAACTAATATGTATCAAATGTCAATTAATGCACAGAGTAACATAGAAATAGCAAAGGTCAGTTTTGACAAAGATTCTGCAGCAGAAGAACCAACAGTCGGAACTTCATCGGAGGTAACTCCATCGCCTGCTTCTTGATGGATAACATGTAAAGAGGACAACCTGCAAGGCTTGTAATTGTTGGTTCCATTTGCAGGTGTTGATTGACAAACAACCACAGACTGCGACGGACCCACAACAAGCTCTTCAAGAATACAAAGGTATCTTTTGAATTTCTCTAAAGAATTAATATATCTTCCTAGGTTTCTCATCATGTAATAACTTCAAATTTTCAGTTGAAAATGCTTCCAAGCTTCAAATAAATTGCAACTTATTGTTATGACTTCCCAACTTTCTCCATTTTAAATGGCTAAACCGAAATTTGTATCATTGTTATTTGTAGCGGCTCTTCCTCAGCCCGTGGATCCAACAGTGCTTTCACCAAGTACTAGCATCGCTTCCACTTCCCTAACCTCAGAAGCACTGACTTCATCTTCAACAAAACAGCACCCTCCGCGGAGGAGTTGGTTGATTTTCATGGTCTATTTAAGATTAAGGAAAGACGAGCTCGCTTACTTGATGAAGCATTTGTCAAATATCCACATTTAAGGGAATGGAAACTCACACAAAGGACTCCTAGGATTTGCAAGATGGGATACAAGTGCTTAGCTGACATGCTAGCATTTTTAAAATCAGAGACACCAAAGACAGTGGATGATTCAAAGATGGAGGAATTTGAAAATCTATATTATGAACTGGAATTTTTTGGCTTTGACAAGATTTGGTTGGCATCTACTCGCCAGAGACTGACGGATATGCTAGCTGATCATGATAACAAGTTGAAGCGCTGGATCAGTTGGAGTCTCAATTAGCAACTTAGAAGAACGACT